GAGGGAGCTTTGGCGACAATGAACCAATCAACTTTGCAGAACAAGCGATGGCTACGGTGCGGGATAACTGCGCTCTGACGCCTCTCTGTGTTGTGACTCATTGCGGGAATAGACGCAATTCTAACAACGTGAAAATTCGAAGTGGGCAACAATGTACAGCTGTTATGTGCACTTCTGTAACAGAAGTTTAAGGAGCCACTGTCATTAGTTTTCAGCATTTGTTCAGCTGTATGATCCCCCTGTTGACTTGGTGTTGCTTTGCTAAAATTAATCGACTAGGCATGAGGTGTTTAGGAAGTTCTCTGAATTGGTTGTCCGATGTTATATCCTTTGACGTGTTGGCCCATCCGGACGCTCATTTTAAGGCAATGACGGATATGGTCAACATATCAGAGGAGTACTATCAGTCTTGGTGGTGTCTGGTAGAGGAGGCGGTGTTCCAGACCGATGAGTTCGGATAACTTGCAGCCTTGCCGATGTCGGTCCGCGGCTAGTCGTTCAACAAGCATCGATATCGGTTTGCTTTTCGGCTAGTCTTCGCTGAAGGCTGTTCTAGCAGTTAGGCCCACGGGGAAATTCGTTTCCTACCAGCACTGTGGCTAGAGAATAGTAAAGCAAAGTACAAGCCGGGGTGTGCACTATTGGTCGGTTACACCGGAGGATACCAAGGGAGGCACGGACAAGTTAAAGGTAAGTTCTCGGCCGACTGGTTCAACATTGTTTACACAGGGTGCTCGGCTGGCAAATGGGCAGAACGATGGCAATTTAAATAGGTCGTCGTCGGAAGGTGTTAGCGGCGCTGCAGTTCAGATCAAATATGAAAATGTGCTGTGATAGGAAAATTCAGTAAACGCAACTCCTATGCACACGCTAAAACAAAATTGACGCAGTGTAAAGAGAAACTGTGATTAAAGTGTGAGAATATTTACTAGTCGATTCAGCAACCTTAATGAAACAAGTTCATCGACTTAGATATCGTTATCGGTGGCTACGAACGAAACCGTCTGACTAGCAAAAAGGAGTTATATTTTGAAATTAAATCGAGTTTTTTTTTGGTTGCACAACCATAGTGTTGTTATGATGTTAACATCCTCGACAACATGTGCGTTTGGCTTACAGCAAATAAAGAGGAACGCGATTTAATGGGTTAGGGAAATTTCGATGAATACTGTAACTATGAACAGATGAGTTTGCGGTAGTAGTGCTAGATTTAGGTGGAAGCTAACATAAACGATACAGACCCTATTAGAAAGGTGACCTTGACGGCCATTCCCGCCAATAGAGCACAGTAAATAACTAATTTGGGAGTAAACGCGGCTTCTTAGAAGCTGTAAACGGCTTGGGTGCTCCTTATTACCTTCTAAGTCTACATTTATTCTCAAGTGTGCAAAAAATGATAGTTTAAAACAAGGGGCTTTAAATATGACAACGTCCAGCCCAACATTATGCAATGTACTCAAGCGAACTGTTTAAGGACTGTCTGACTGATCTATGCTTTTGCACTACTACCAGTATCCAGAGCGGCTCTGAGGTAACGTGCAATTTTGTACTTAGTTGTCTTTCGACTTACATGGAAACACATCGCTAGTAACTTCCCAGTATTCCTCTCAAGCGTAAAATTTATGCAACGCTGTCCCTTCATGATAACTGCCTATAGAGCTACATCAAAGTACGCAATATTCCATAGGAGGACATTACACGCAGGCGGATCAACATAAGGCGTAATATCTACTTACGCTTTTATTTCTGTCTTACCTTGACTAACCGATCTTATTACTTACTGTTGATGTAGCTTAAATAAAAACTGTCTTAATGCACTCGTTGAAAAGCTCAACCATCACGTTGAAGACACACCAAACAGTGACAGCAGTTCAAGGCGCAGTCGAATACGTACATTCCACGAAATCCGCATTTGTTATCGTGGGGACAAATTTCAGCATAATGCTAGCATATCCTGGACATTTCCATACCAAAAAGATGTCCAAATGCTGATTCCTGATAATAAGTGATTGATTAACTTCCGGAAACTGACAGTCAGCATCATGACTACGATTGATAAACGAGTATCAGATATTTAGTATCGATGTGGCGCGGTTATTACGAGTGAGCACGGAGGTGAGGCGACAAAGGGTTGTCTGGATTTAAATCATTACAGCGCCCAAGGAGACAAATAGTATGGCTATAAATAGGCACAATCTAAAAAATTACGGTTTCGACCGGCATCAGTTCCAGTTTCGATGGTTACAATGCCTGACGTCATTGTTACCTACCTACCCATATACACTTTGCGTTCGTGTTTGTGTTTGCATTTCCTTTAGAGGGCGTATTGAGTGAGAATATAATAAAATGCATCCGAAGAATGTGCGTAAGAAGTTGTTTCAATGGTGGCAATCGGGAAATATTTCGTAATTCTGCTGATATCAGTGTGCACGACCCTCATATGTGTAGTTTACACACACCACATCAGTAGTCGAGGATAAGAAACTGGCTAGAATTGAGTAAGTTGACTTTTAGAGCTGTGGAGGGTCACCAAGGAAACCTTTGAAGTCCGAACTGACTTGTTATCGGGAATCGATCAACGCCATCGGTTACCCCTGTTACGGCAATAATATGTTGACTATGATTTTGGACGGGAAGTCCCACCGTGAATGTCCGGAGTACTGAATGTACCCTATCACCATCAACTTCAGTGTTCGCGCGAATACAGCGCAGGAGTAATGATAAGAAGGCAGTACATGAAAGCGCTATCTATCTCACAACTATCGCAAGGTCACGATTGCACTGTCCTGGCCGCTGCCTCCGCCAACACCATCCAAAACGGCATTTCAAGAAAGAGTGTTGGGCGGGTTCACGGGTTAGATCTAACTCCAACAAATCTTCTGGAAGGCGTGGACAGGCAGCTAGCGGTTGTTGAATAAGATGTCTGAGAAATTCTTGACATGATTTGAAAGTGTTCAGGGGCGCGTAGGGACTTAAAACAGAGGATCCGCTCCATTTATATGGCGGACTTTGATAAGTTAACCGCTTCCCTGGAGGAAGCAAAAGTCCTTATGGACATACTTATCCATATCATTTCCTGATATCATATTGACGGAACAAGTACCTGCCCTTTGAGGACACTTGTCCTCAAAGTTGTGGGTGTGGACCGGTACCGGACCGGTACGGAAGCGCGTACGTACGCGCTTCCGTTTGTGGCAACAAGAAGCCTTCATGGTTGCCAGGAAAGTGCCTTCGCTATTCGGCAACGGGAAAAGAAAGGGTGCGTTGTATGCGCAAATCAATTTATAAATAGAGAAAAAGTGTTAAGAAAACTGCATCTAGGACTGACCGGACTGATCGAAAAAGCAACAGCACACCTGCTATTGGCTAATGAGCTATTTCGAAATGTCGTCACTCGAGCAGTGTATTTAATGCACACATAATGTTCGGGGATGAAGGCGTGTCGAGCACATGATTAATTAATTTATTGCTCTGAGCGTTGGAACTCTTACAGGAGTTCATCTTCAGAGATGAGCTGGTTGCTTTCTCATATCTGCAGGTGGATTCCTGTAAGAGTTCGAAAGCTCAGAACAATAAATCAATTAATACGGTTTATTTGTGAAGCACATCTTCTGGTGCTCGACATGCCTTCTTCCTCGTCCATGCAAATACCTGGATCGCGAACCTCCTCATTCACTAGGACACATAATTTTCGTTTGGTTGTGCATACCCTCAGTAGGCGACTTTTCCTAATGTACACTTTCTATGACTGGTGAATCATCGGACTGTCGGGAAGGTCTTTCATCAACACACATTATATATGAAGATGAGAACGGACCATGATATTCAATGACACGGGCTGCATGAAACTGATAATATTTCGACTTTCTTGCCTCCTCTGACTCTGTATCCAGTAGTACCGCCTATGTCAAACCCCAATG